GTCTTGGCACCGTGCATTAAAAGCAGGCTCTGGCAAATTAACTAATTGCCCTTTGTAAATAGAATCGAGTGTCTGTGCAAAAAAGCAGCGTTTCTGCGATGGCTTTAAGCTGAGCAAGGGTGCAGGGTGTCCAGAAGGAAGGGGTTTGCTCTTGCTCTGCCTCCTGGCTCTTCCTGCATCCATCACTGACATGGCAACGCGGAGCAGCCTGGCTCAAGGCTAAACTGATAGAAAATAAGAAGCCTTCTGTCACATCCCGCTATGTCTGTGGAGACTCTGCTGTTCCTGTGGGAGCTCTCCCTGGGCTTTCAGGAAAATCGCTTGGACTAAGTCAGGACTCTGCGTACATCTCATCTGAAGTAACCACAGCGCTTGTCCAGCTCGGGGTATTCACTTAAATCACCGTGAATCTCAGGAAAAGTTTGTGTGCCAGGTTATCTCCAGCAAAGTGATGGGCAGCTGGGGCAGCGACCTCCCAAAGCCCAGTGCAATCCAGAGCGGGCAGGTTGGAGCCATCAGATAACTCATTTCCACCTCTCAAGAAAACAGGCTCTATTTAAAAGGCTCTAGAGAGCATTCACATGGACTGCTTTGCTGACAGAGCCATGAGAGCAGCTCCTTGCATGAGAACTACTGTTACTAAAAGCAGGAGGCAAGAACATGCTCAGTCTACCTAACTGAAAGGTGAAATGTCTGCAGCTTCTGAGGTTCTCGTGAAGAAGGGGCCTGGAAAGCGTTATCGCCCCTGCACTTTGATACACAATTCAGGAATCTTCCTGAGGAATAAGGAGCTGAATTCAAGCGTAGATCAAGGGCAGGGTAGATCATGTGGCTGCCCTGACACCGGCTGTGCCCTGAGGCACTTGCTTCCACGGAGAATTGTAACCGTAATTGATAGTCACAGCATCGCTCTTCCCCAGAAGCCTGAGGGGAGAAAGCTTCCCCCCTTCTTTTTGCCAGAATGCTTCCCGTTTAGTTTTCTTTTAAGAAAAATAAATACATAAATAGCCAGAAGAGTGAAAGATTGCCAAATCATTTTTGCTTATATTTTGCTATCATGATGCTTCCCCAAAAAAAAGCCAGCTAAATAACTGCCGCTGCATAACAGAAAAGGCAAATTTGGTTTCCTCCCTCTCAGTGATAGGAGAAGTCTGTGGTAAAAAGTTAATATAGATAGTTATTGCTCTTGTTTTGAAAGCAAAAGTGAGAATTAATTATACAAATATATATATATGGAGAAGAAGCCTTACACATCTTCTTATTCCAGATTTACAGGTGCTATTCCTGGCAAAAAGCAAGCAAGATTTTCTTTTTTTGTTTCATAAGAGTAGTGATTGTAGGGATTTTTCTTTGTCTTTTCTTTGTCTAGCATTGCCACTGCATGCTTTTAAAATAAACTGGTTTTTATATAATTCAAAACAGTTTTTTTTCTCTCTGCTGTGTTGAGGGACAGAATGGGCTGAGAGAAGCCAGGGCTTGCCTGGAGGCAGCACTAATGGAGCAGCCCTGATAAATGACACCTACTTAAGTGTATTGACACCTACTTAAGTGCACTTCTCCAGTGTATTATTCTTCCAGGACCTTTGAGGGCAACTGATCCTGTGCCGCTTCTTCCACATCCAAGTGCAATTTTTGGAAAACCCGTGGCTCTGAGGGGGACATTAGAGACCCTCATTTTGGCGGCCAGCTGATCACTGAGTAACTGAGCTGTAGGGGGGGCAGCTGGGGGCCTGCTCTTGTGGGCCCATAGCCACTGACAAGGAGTTGTGGAGGGCATCCACATCCCTGTTTCCCTGCATTAGTCCCAGTATTCCGTCAGAAACTGCTGCCCCTTGTCCTTTTGAACTGTGGAAAGGCGCTGGGGCACTGGGCGCTGCGGCAGCCTGACGTGCCCATCGTGAGGTAACCTGGGGCTGCCACAGCGTCCTGGACACGCTCCCCAGCCGAGACCTTGCAGCTGCTTTCAATGAAGGGGAAGCAGCAAGAAAAGAGAAATTTCTAAAATGAGTTTTGGGGGTTTTGCTTTTTTTACTAACTGAAAACATGTCACAGAGGAGGGGAAGAGCCAGAACTTGAAATCTCAGCATGGAAACGTGCAAGAGTGCATGGCAGGCAAGGAGGTTTTGAGGAGGAGATTAGCCAGTGGTTCTTTGCCAAAGTAATGATTTGTCTTCATTTTCTTATTTTCCATGTTCTTTGAAAAGAGGAAAGTTAGATACTTTCCAAAACAATTTTTTCCTTTAATTTTGTCTTTCCAACAAAGACTCTTACCTTATGCTTTGCCCATCCTATCAGGTATTGTAACTATCTTGAAGCAATTTCTTGGGCGCTTGTTTTCAAGCCACATTCTTATTTATGTGCTAGCTGCTATTTATACTTCGAATAAATATTTTGCCGAGCAGAAAAGGTGTCCCTGGAGTAACAGTGAGCTTGGAACTATAAATACTTTTCATCTGCCACTTCCTTCTTCATTGTCAATAACTGGGAGGGTTTGCACTGCCCTTTGTGTGAGCTGGGCAGAATCGCACAGCTCGGTTGCCATGTCATGACAGCATGTTCAGAAATGCATAGCAAACAGTAGTTATTTTTCCCATAATTTGTTTTTTAAGCTTTAATTTTGCAGTGTTTTGTCATGACTGGGCAAGAATTGGTGTGCTTAGCGTGGCTTCACTGTAACTACAACTCTGTTTCTGGAAGCTCGGAAAATATATATCTGTTTGAGAGCTTATTTAGCAGTAGTATTTTGGAGCTCTTTTCAATCCACAGATATACTCTGATGATAAACCTGAGGTTTTAACTCATGGATCTGGACAAGATGATGTGAGAAGAATGGCCTGGAAAATATCCTGTGCTTGCATTTTGTAGAAACAATCAAAATCAAGGATCCAACTCTGCTAAAGAAATAGATGATTTAGAGTTTTGGTGTAGCGGACTGAAAATAATATTGAAATAATCATTTCTGTGCTCTGAAGGCATCCTAAATTATTTACCATTTCTTGGATTGTAATCTCATCAGCAGAATGCAAGTTTGCATACCATGCCACTAAAGAAGCAGCTAGTAATTCATGATGTGTCTGTCATTTAAATAACCAATAACAGGCATCAAGTCCGTATGACTTTTATTGGAGAGTGTGAAGCAAAGCTGGAATCCTCAGGGATGTCTAGATGTCTAATTCCCGTTGATATGAATGCAAATCAAGTAGGTAAATCTCCCTTGTGAATCTGTGCCTTTGTGCCCAGGTTTCCTGACTGTCTGTCTGCCTAAAACGCCCAAGTGCTGTGTTATGGTGATCACAATTTCTTCCAACAGGCAAAGTTCAAACAAGAAGGATGAATTCACAGCTGTAAAAGTCCTAGGGGAAAGACAAACCATGGCTTCCTGCCGGAGCAGTCTGTAGAGTTGCTGTTTGTAGCTACTGAATTCTCCCTTTTCTCTCCTAGCCCTTTCATCCGATGGTGAATTTGGAATGCTCCAGGGATTTCCGACCGTTCCTGTGTGCCCTCTACGCTCCGGTGTGCATGGAGTATGGCCGTGTCACCCTCCCGTGTCGCAGGCTGTGTCAGAGGGCCTACAGCGAGTGCTCCAAACTCATGGAGATGTTCGGGGTCTCTTGGCCTGAGGATATGGAGTGCACCAGGTTAGCAGATTGTTTCTGAATCCCGGTGTAGAATATTTTAGATGTGATATGTCCTGTTACAAATGCCCTCGTTTTCCTTTCTATTTGTGTAAAAGCCTGTTTCCTGGGGAGGAAACCGAGTTGATATTTCCATCATCTGCCCAAAGATGAGTTGAAAATTTCTATAGGCAACTACTGTAAACTCAGAGTGCATATTCTTATATGAACAAATATATCAATCTATTTTTCATCATCTTTATCCTTTACACTGACCTCCTTTGGCCTGATATATCAAAATATAACACGCGATAATTGCTCTAAATGTCTCTGAGACATGCAAAATTGCTTTTACCAGCGATTAGTAATATCTTTTCTATAGGGGTGCTGACAGTTTTTGGTGAGAGTGTGACCCTCAAAGCTGCATTTTTAGAGGAGGGTCTACCATGTGTTTACACTGGATACAAAGAGTAGTTTTCAGCTTTACACTAAACATAACTTTGCAGCAAAGTATTAGGTGATGATGCACTCTAGAGAAAGTACATGCAATTGAAAACAACATCTTTATGCTTTATTTTTTTGTAAATGACTCCAATAACTAATAAAATTCACAAGCACAAACAGGAGGAGTGTCCCTTGCAGCTGGAGAGGAAAGAATGAAAAACAAGTAACACATCTTTTTGCAAAAAAAAAAAAGATAAATCAGAGGAGACCTCTAGTTTCTGATAATCTGGATCAAAGATCAGTTTAACTGCATGCTCCAGATAGATGCCTGGGCCCCTTAGGGCCTCCTGTCTCCTTATTAAGGACATGTCAGTAGTGAAATTTCAAAAACAGAACCAAAACTAGCAAAAGTCTGCTGGTGCTGGAGCCCAGAGGAGCAGAGCTGCTTGGAGTCCCCCCAGGCTCCCCTGCACAGCTTCTGAGTGGGGCTTTGGCTGCTCTCAGCCCAGCATTGGGGCCTTGCCGGGTTATAGAGATGTCTTTATCATAATTGTCATTTATGAGTGCTAGCAGCACTGCTCTTCCATGTAGTGAGCTCACTAGACTGCTTTACAGCAGCTAGTAGGGATGCTTTGGGAAAGCGTTTTACATCATCTATAAAACGGTCCTTCCCTAGGCACCAAGTCTCCAAATTTAGAGCTTTCCTGAGATGGACTTTGTATTTAAAGCCTTTGGTGGAGCCCTTTTCCTTTAGTCAGTTTTCTGATTAAACCTATCTGCTAGTTTTGACATCCACCGTGTTCCGTGATGATGAGTTGTAGTTTGTTGATCTGTAGTGTAGCATTTCATGGATTACCCAATATTTGCGTTGTCTTTGACTTCTCTTCAGTTAACATGTCTAAAGCTGTGGGTGAAGTCATGGGCTTTCTGGTCTTTGCAAAGTATTTGCATGGTTTCTTGTAAATAAGTTATTTTTCTTGCTTTTTAGATTCCCCGATTGCGATGAGCCGTATCCTCGCCTTGTTGACCTCAATCTAGCCGGGGAACCCACCGAAGACGCCCCAATGGCAGTACAGAGGGATTATGGTTTTTGGTGTCCTCGGGAGCTGAAAATAGACCCTGATCTCGGTTACTCTTTCCTGAGGGTACGAGACTGTTCCCCTCCTTGCCCAAATATGTACTTTCGTCGTGAAGAGCTCTCCTTTGCTCGCTATTTCATCGGAGTGATCTCCATCGTCTGCCTTTCTGCTACCTTGTTTACTTTTTTAACTTTCCTCATTGATGTCACCAGATTCCGCTATCCAGAGAGACCCATAATATTTTACGCCGTCTGTTACATGATGGTGTCGCTCATTTTCTTCATTGGCTTTCTGCTTGAAGACCGAGTCGCGTGTAACGCCTCCAGCCCTGCCCAGTACAAGGCCTCCACGGTGACGCAGGGCTCGCACAACAAGGCTTGCACCATGCTCTTCATGGTGCTCTATTTCTTTACCATGGCCGGCAGCGTTTGGTGGGTCATTCTAACCATCACGTGGTTCTTGGCCGCCGTGCCAAAGTGGGGCAGCGAAGCGATCGAGAAGAAAGCCTTGCTCTTCCACGCCAGTGCCTGGGGCATTCCGGGAACTCTCACCATCATCCTCTTAGCAATGAATAAAATTGAAGGTGACAATATTAGCGGCGTATGTTTTGTTGGCCTCTATGATGTGGATGCATTGAGATACTTTGTTCTTGCTCCCCTCTGCCTGTACGTGGTGGTCGGAGTTGCCCTTCTGCTCGCTGGCATTATCTCCCTGAATCGCGTTCGCATTGAGATCCCGTTAGAAAAAGAGAACCAGGACAAGCTAGTGAAGTTCATGATCCGGATTGGCGTGTTCAGTGTGCTCTACCTCGTGCCGCTCCTGGTTGTAATTGGCTGCTATTTCTATGAGCAGGCGTATCGAGGCGTGTGGGAGACCACGTGGATCCAGGAACGCTGCAGGGAATATCACATCCCGTGCCCCTATCAGGTGAGGAAACCGGCGTGCCGCGCGCCGCACCACGGAACCTGGGTAAGCAGGGGGTGTCCTGAGGCTTCCTTGGCATCCCTGACTGGACGTGCTGCAATTCCAAGAAGGAAAAGTGCTTTATTTATTTATTTTTTTTGCTGTACTCATTTTAGTAAACTCATTTGGCCTTCTAGGAGAGTAAGTATTGTTGGAAAATTGTAGAGTTTCATTAGCCATTATGTGCTTTTTTATTATAGATAAAGCTCTGGGGTTTCTGGGCTTTAGTGTACTTATATGTGATGTGAAGGCACTATTCTAAACCAGTTTAAAGAACAGGACCTAATGAGTTTATTTTTCATTGTTTGATATATATTAGAAGCTTTGCTCTAAAGGAACTACAGAATTTAAACCGAGATGTCATCAGCCGGATTTTGTTTTTTCTAGTTTTTGCTGTTCTGTAGCTGTTTTGTTGCTTTGACTGTCCCGCAGCCCGTGTGTGTGTTGGAAACAGCCCTATCAAACCTCGATGCGTCTTCTGCAAAAAAAGCAGAGCTTACAAATCACTAGTTTATCCAAAAAGCAAGTTACACTAACTTGCTCAGTGTGTTTAAATGAGTTATCCCAGAAGAATAAGCTACCAAGAGTGCTACGTATCAAGCTGTCCACTGTTTACTTCAGCATTAGTTTGGAATTCTATTTCTTAGATATTTTCTGCAAATGATTTGAGAACAGCCCTATTTTAAGAAGTTTGTGCACCAAACGTTTATTGTGCAGCTGCACAGAGTGGTATAAACACAATGATACTTTGGATCTAAAGCAGTTAAAATACCAGCTGGGTCATCAAAGCTAACATTTTAATGCCATAAAAATATCACTTAAAGGTTTGGAGTAGCTTATATAGCTCGATAGTAATCCTTTCATTACCTTTTAACCCTTTTTATTGTTTTCTCGGTTACATTTTATTAGGGTGAGACTCTCCCTCCCATCCAATGTGTGAGCACTTTTACAGCAGGAAATATCTATGAATGGGTGTATTCAGTTTCATTTGCTTGATTTGCTCTTCATTGCTTCGGCTTTTAATAGTTAAATTGATTGATGCTTAAAAAGTGAGATGGACAAGCACTTTTCACTTAGTTAATTTAAAATACTCGCCCTATGCCCAGCTCAAATGTGCATGGAAATGTGCAGGAGGAAAGGGCTATCGCTTTCTCCAAATGTAGAACAAAAAACTGTTTTAAACATTTAAATCTTCCAATGCTTAAGGACCAAATCCTACAGAGTGAACAATGAAAACATGAAGCAAAGGGCTACTCAGATCTCGAGAAAGCCATTAACATAATGGCTCAGCGGGAATCAAAAGCACAATAATGGTTTCATTCACATCAAATTGGGTTGAAGGACCCATAGACCCTAGGGAGTGTTAGAAGGGTTTTTATTCTAACCCGTCCAATTTTTTCTTCAGCTAAACATGCTCCCCCAATTAAACTATCCAGACTTATAATTGAAACAGATTTTCAAGGCAGTGGGGGGAAAAAATCATTTTATCCTTGGATAGTGCTAGCAAAATAAATTATTAAAGTAGGGGGATAATTTAAATCGAATTTAGATCTTTTTAAGCATTTGTTTTATTTAACTTTATATCAAATGCTTGAATATCAGTTTCTGGAATTGGACTATCAGCTTCTGCCATAGTAGAAAAAAGCTACTGGGAGCAGCGCTGGATTCCCCAGGGGGTTGTGTGGGTCCCGTCCGGCCACTTCCAGCTCCTCTTCCCTCACCTGCAGCTGCTTTTCCTGTTCCAGGAGCGCCGGGAAGCAGCGCGGAGGGAATGTTCCTTCCCCAAAGCTTCCTTAGTAAGGGAAAAACCCGAAAGACAGCTCCTGCGTTGAGAGGTGAGGCGGGTTTAGTGTGTGTGCAACGGGCCTGATCCGAGTGAGACATTTCCCTGCTGGGGAGAGGCCCTGGCCCCGATTAAACACGTGGGGCACAGGGAGGAGTTCAGGGAGGTGAGTGTTTTCTATCAGCCTGCACAAACCTCTTAATGCAGTTAAAAAAATCAAGGTTGCTAAATTAGATCATCCTTCTTTGAATGGAAACAAAGGGAAATTAACAGAGATGTTACCAGAAATAATTATTTTTATGGCTTCTGCTGCTAAGACTATGCACAGTAATTGCAGTGAGGTAATCAGCTGCAATCAGTGTTCCTGCTTGGTGAAAGCTGTTCAGAGCAGCCTGGAAATGGTTTTACCCACTCCCTTCATTTTCCCACCTTTTTTCCTTTTCCAAGTGAAAAAAAAAAAAAAAAGTGCTTCTATAATCTGGATGCCTTCTGCACTATAATATCCAAATGAACAGGTGAATTTTATGTTGCCATGTCCGTTTTTCACTTGTTCCCTTCAAAAATAGAATGTTTGGCCCAAGTGAAAACAGATTAATGCTTTTTTGGGGGGTTAAGAAAAGCTCATGCAATGCAAAATAAAATTAACTTTCACTGCTTACAGAACCTAGATCCTGTGTCATGAACATGTCACATTTTAGCTGGAGCTGCGTGTCCAAGCTGGAGAGCAAAAATCACAAATGGAATCTTTTGAATGGGAGTTTAGCACAATTTTATATCAGGATAAACTGCAGAAATGAGACAGGGAAAAAGAACAAGTCTCCTAAGAAACCTGTTATAAAGATTCCCAAGAAGATTCCCAAGAAGACCTGAATGTTTTTCAGGTCCAGGCTCCAGCTTTTGTCATCACTTGGAAAGTGCCCACGGGGACCGTATTTGGCATCGTCTCCTTAATGCTTTTAACCACACAAAGAAAGTCCCAGGTTCTGATCTGCGGGGGATTTTTTCTATAGCACAGTTGGTTTGGCTTTTTAGTCTATAATCCAGAACCTGGAATTTGCCTTTTAAATGTCTCTCCTCTCTTACTTTGCATTTTCTGCCTTGGCTGCCAAGGCAGCTAATTCAGGTGGACGGGGCTAAGATTTTGCCCAGTCAACTCCAGATGCCCCAAAGCAGGAACTTCTTTTGTATCAGACATCTTCCCTCTGAGATACCTGATGTAAGGAAAAAAATAAGTTAAAAAACATCAAAGTTTGGAGAACCTAGAGCTACTGTTAAAAACTCTTGCCCAAGGTCTCCATCTGTCCCCATCCAAGCCAGTCATCCTGTTCTCCCTTATTAGCTAATGGAAGAAAAGAGACATTTCTGTAGTGATTCATTGGACATTTTATCGGATGAATCATTCCCCAACTTGATATTTAGCTTGTTTGAGACAGTCACGCTTTCTTTAGGGGGATATGATATATTTATGAGGGAATTTTTACTGCAAAATTTTGCGGAGGTTTTTGAGGGGGAGTCTAGGAGGAGAGGGGATTTTTTGTGCCTCTCTTTCAAGGTCAGGATGTGCCCGCTCTGCCCCAGTACAGTCCTTCGTAATGTGTTTTCTAAAGAAAACATGGTTTTTATGCCCAAAGAAAGGGCATAAATAAGGCTGCAGTACCACAAGGGCACAGAGCTGTATCTTGGGATTCCGTGGACAGGTGATTTTGCCTTCTAATATAAAACTAATGATGAGTTAACTCTTAGAAATGATGCTGTAAGATGCAAGCTTAAATGTCATCCACTTCAGCAGCAAAAAATAGTCATTTTGACCCTTTTCCTCCCTGCTCCTCTCCCTTATTTCCCTCCAAGAAAGTCCTGCTCTGTAATAACATCAAATGGGTTTTTCCTGAGGACAGGAGTCCTCGCTCTCGTGGTCATTGCTGGTGTCAGAGAGAAAAGAGAGGATTAATTGTGGTTCCCTAAGATACCAAAACCCTAAATGGGAGGAATGTTTTGGTAACGGTCCCTCTTGTCTGAGCGGGCCCTTATGGGTATCCAAAGGAGAACAAAACACGGGCTCGATACTGTGTTCCTGTTCGTTTTAAAATGATGCTGTGCGCTTTATTTATAATTAAATATTTATTTATAATTAAGTAAAACGCAGTGCCCAAGCCCACCGGAGCATCCGGCAGCGCAGGGCCGCGCGCAGACGCCCCTCGACACCGGCACGGGCTGCTGTGCTTCAGATTTGCAGCTATCTCTCTCTCATCCCCTCCCAAATAGACGAAAACCAAGAAAGCTTTATTTAATAAAGGTAAAGCTTTAAGTGCAGACACAGGGCTGTGTTTAAACTCCATTTTGATAGCGCAGAATAAATGGCAGTTCCTTCCTTCCCCCCAAATCCCTTGGATTTGGAACTGCCTCCCGGGCTCGGGAGCGGGACGAGGAGCCGGCGCCGCAGCTGGTTTGCAGCGGAGATGACGGCGGGGCCGAGTTTCTCCCTTTTCCTTTCACAAAACCTGCTGCATTTTCACGCTTTCGGACTTTCCTTCCCTGTTTGTGGGTGTTCCCACTGTCTTTCTCCATGCAAAACGTCTCGGCTGTTTTTCCGTGCGCGCGACGGGCTCCTGGGAAGCACTGAGCTGGGTGCAGAAAAGAGGCTTTGTTGGGAAATGCCTTTGCACCATCCGTGTGTGGCACAGGCAGGGCGAGAATTACATATGGAGATGTCGAGAAATCCAGATTTCTCCTCCCCTCCCTCTCCCTTAGTTATTGTTTGGAGTTGCTCTTAGAAGAGCTAATGGAGTTGCTGAAATCTGCGCTGAGGAATCGCTTCTTCCTGGGTGTGGTGATGCTGCCCTCAGGGAAAAAAGTGAAAATAAAACCGTGCTTTTCCATGTTGCATTTCCTTGGAAGAGACGGAGCAAATCTGAGTGATGAATTAGACTCCTTTCAAAAAGAAAAGCAATATTAGCCCAGAAAAAAAAAAAAAACACAGTATTATGCTGTTATTCAGTTAATTTCTCCTAGTTATTTCAGCTGCTTGAGGACAAATTCAAGCTAATTGGTTGGACTTGGCCATTTTGGCGTTACCATGAGCAGTTTTGCTTGGGCTTTGGGAAACGCTGCCTAGGATGCTGTGTTTGCTGTTACCTAACTGGCCTGCGTCCCACTTCCAGGCAGGAGCATCCCGAGGGAAGCGGTCGCTGCACTCCCAGCGGGCAGGATTCGTAACGGGAATTCCTGAGCGCGGGACAAAGGGAAGTGCTGATTTCCCAGCCCCGATCCGCAGGCAGGTTGATCCGTGTGTGCACCAGTGCAGGGCTGCTCAGGGTCATCTTATTTTCCTTTTTATTCAGCATTTTGCAGAAGGTGACTTGCAAAAGCAGAGCAGAGCTTGCTATTTTTGAGCTCTCCATTTAATTTCCTTCTCTTTTTTTTTTTGGATTTCTGTTCTCCTTAATCCAGTGTGCTTTATGTGTGCAGCTGCCTTGAATTCTGCTTATTTAGAAAGCTCTCTTATTTCCAATGACCATTTTAGCCACTGCTAAAAGCGGCAGCAAAAAGGCAGTGCCCTTGGCGGTGCTGTGCTCTCGTGCCCTTCTTCCTGCGCTCATTGGTTTTCCCAAATATCTTTATTTTCAACAAAACCGTTAACCATCAGCCCTGGGAGGAGGCTTGCATCGAAATCGCAGCGCTCCCAGGCCTAAGCAGCCCTGCAAGCATCTGCTTCATTTTCCGAGCCAGCTTTTGCTTCTATTCGTTTTTTATGAGCATTTTTGAGATTTTAGACTGGGAGAAGCTTTAAGCAGTACAGAATGAGGAATCAAACTCTTCATGCCTCGTTATTTGCACATTTACCTTAAAACAGGCAAGCGGCATCATCTGTTTCTGCATTTCCAGCAGTTTCCTAGAGTGACAGTTGCAAATTCAGATGCATAATTTGCACAAATTCAGATGCATAATTTGCACAAATTCAGATGCATTATTTGCACAAATTCAGATACATTATTTGCACAAATGCAGTATCCCCCCCAGCCTGTTTTTTCCTGTGTGTTACCACGCAACTGCTTGCACTGAGTTACATCAAAAAAAGCCAAAAAATCCATGCAAAGCAATGAAGTGATGCCCGAAATTCCCGAAATTAGAGCCTGTCCTTGGAGCAGGTTTTTAGTCCAAACCGGATCGTTGCTGCGCTCGATTCCCTTTTCCCGCACGCTTAGTTCCCGCCTAGGCGCTAGCGCCGGCGTTAAAAGCACGGATGATCTTCCCAGCAGGGATCTCGCTCCTCCGCGGCCGTGGGACGGCCGTGCCCGGCGCTCCGCGGCAGTGACCTCGCCGTGTCCCCGGCTTGACGGACGTGCCGGTAATTCGGGCTGGCGTCCCGGCTCGCCGACACGTTAGGTGCGTCCGCGCCGCCGGCACCGCTTTGGGCAGGGCTTTTGTTACCCGTCGCTGCCAGAAGTGCTGACACAGAAGCACCGCTGAGATGCAGCCATTTCCATGCAGATTTTGTCTTATTTTTTAATAGTTGGGATCTATGGAAGAGAAATTGTAGTAGATGTAGATCGTTCATTTGGTTTTTTCCATCTTTTTCCCTATACCTCTGGATGGTGCTTGCCTAGACCTGAAGTCTTTCCCCAGCCTTTTAATCCGCATGTTGTTCACGGGGCTGTAAGGGAAGGATTTGATGCTTCTTTTGTGGCAAACGGCTACAGTTCATCCAAAAAGGGGGATAAATGACAGGGACTGAAATGAGGAATGTGCCCGGGATTGAAAGTTGCTTCTCGTATTCCAGAGGCAAGAGGAAAGCTAAAAAAGCTGAGAAAAAAAAGGCAGAGGGCAGGTGCTTGTGCAGTGGCACTAATTGCAGGCCGTGGGCAACGCTTAAGAAATGAGGCGCTTTGGTTGGATGTTGTCGTCCACGTCCAGATAAACCCACAAACTACAAGAGCTCCCTGTGGCTCCGCGGATCCGATGAGCCCGAGATCCAGCCCGTCCTCCGCGAGCCGGGTGCGCTCCAAGGCTGCTGCCCCCCGCGCGTTTTGTAGCCACTTCCATCCAGTTTTTGAAATGTAATTTTTGAATACAAAATAATGTTCTGGGTGAGCTACCCCCAGCGAGATGGGCACTCAGAACCTCGGGGAGTTTCCCCCAGAACAGCCTGTAGCCAATTAAGGTGCTAATGTCATAAGCTCAAATAATTGTGTTTATTTATTTATTTGTTTTTCGCGTTTCACGCTCTGTTCCCAAACAGCCCGACCGTTCCCTTTAATCTCCATCCCCGCTCCGTAGTGACTCTGGTTATTAACCAACTCTGCAGCATAGTGAGGAGCACTTTTCTTCCTAATTGTTTTAATGACTTGATCATCTTACTGCGAGCAGCGACGGCGAGGAAAGCGGAGCTGGAAGCGCAAGCGTGGGTTCCCATTCCCGCTTCCCAGGGCAGGGCCAGGTGCCATCCCGTGCTCCCGCTTCCCAGCTCATTAATTTGCAGGGGCGGCCGCGGGTCCCTGTCACCGAAACGCAGCTGTGAGTGACGCTCGGGGGCAGGAGGGCCGAAGAGGCAGCCGCGAGGCCTGCGAGCAGCCACCAGCCCACAAAGGAGCCTTGTTCCTGCCTGGAGGAACGCCGGAGCGGAGGGTTTAGCCGCCTCGTCCTGCCACCGAGTTTGCCACGGGAGGAGCTCGAGCGTTGGACACGTCACATGGAAACGCTCCGAAAGCCTCCGGTGCCTTTATTCCAGGAGCGTTTGGGCCGTCGTTCCCAATAACTGCGTGCCCGGTGTGTTGGAGACAGCAATTTTCCACCCGGTGAACTTCCCCCCGGTTGTTTGGGAGGCAGATTCACGTTGCAGCAGGGTTCACTGCTCTGCGCCGCAGCCGTGCGAAGGAAGACACCATTTTTATTCCTTATCACAGCGTTTGCTACGTGTAGCTCGATGGTGCTCAGCAGAAGTCAGCAGCTGTGAAGTGTTCTGTAGAAAACAGACTTTAAAATACACCGCAAAACCCTAATGACTTCACGCTTTCCCCTCTTAAAATTTGCTTAATGTTTAGATACCAGGGATTATTTTTTTAATGAACTTTCACATTTGTGACACACAGTATCACATGATGCCGATTTTACCCATTTTGCTGTTGTCTTCATAGAAACACGGCCAAATTTTCACTCGCAGCTTCTTGCTGGAGAGGGACGCGCTCCTGCGATGCTGTTTGAAACAAAATCCCATTGCTGCTCTCCATTTCCAAGCTGGGTATTCCCAGGCACTTGATTCTAGTACTTTTTAGCTTGAAATCACATTTCACTCTAAGCTGAAATATTTCTGAAAGAATGAACCATAAATGTGGACTGTTTCTTGAGATGCTTCCCCATATCTTCACTTTAAGGAGGTGTTTAGACCCAAACGTGATAGTATTAAGGAAAACTATATCTGTTTAACCTCCAACGTGTTTTCTTATATTCTGACCCTTTAGAAACGCAGATTAAAAGCACATTAAATGACCATAATTACATATAAGCCTATAAGTCTTCCCATTTCTCCTGGTTTCTGTAACATTGAGGCTATGAAGAATGTTCCCAAAATAGCAAAAGTCCTGCTGA